GCTAAACTGCCCGGGGACGTTCGTTTATATGGGTACCAACCAAAACCTGGTGTGGTGCCTGACGTGACTTGGGTTCCTCAATAATTCTCAATTCCCAACAAGAATTCTCTTTGTTCTTAGGCCAGGAAAATTAATCACTTTCCATTTTTTGCGGAGGTTCTCCCTCGTCCATGAGGGGAGGTTGGAGGAGAATTATCCTCCTAGACTCTTCCTCTCTCACATTGATATCTCATACCAATCCCTTCAGTGGGTGTTAACAACTTCTCTGCCTTTCTCATACATTCATGCTACCACTTGACCAATGATCCCTCGGCAGTGTGGGTGAGGCTAGACTGGCCCCCTTAAAATTATTATCCAGAATTTTGTTTACAAAATCCTTTTTTTTTTCTTTTTCCCATCGGCCAAAACATTTTTTTTCACAAACCCCAGATTGCCAAATAATTCTTATCACATCTTTCTTTTGGGGACACCCAAAATTCACTTAGTCAGGTCACTCTACCGACTCATCAATCACTGTCAAAACCCGACATCTAGCTTCTTTGCTAAGTCAACTTTTAACTGGGGGTCCATGTTTACCTGAGAATCAAATTCTTTATTTTTCTCATGCCTTAAAATCCTCTTATCAGATGCCCATTTTCGACAACGCTGTGTCTGACGTCAACAGTTTGAAAAAATAATAATAATAATTTCCTCCATGATTTTCTTCCTCATGCCAAAATTTTAACACATACCAGATGATTTCCCTTTGTTGGACCCAGGAATCAAAATTACATGAAATCTCTGAAAGATAACTAATATCGATTCTCTCTGCCTGTATCGTGGTCGTCTCAAGCCGAAATTTTTTTATGACCGCCGTGTGTCGGCTAGCTTTGTTTTTCTTTCTGAAATATTTTTCCCTTGGTGCAACATTCCCTTACCATGGCATTAATCAGTTTTGGCAGAATCTCATATCTTGATTTTTCTTATGGATTTTCTGTCTCGTGAGAAAAGTATCTTTTTTTTTTGTGAATAAAAATAAACTCTTCTATTTAACGTCGCTCAGTCTATCTTTCAATATAGCTCTTTCTCGCCTTAAGTCTTTCCTGTTTTTAATTTCCATGGTTAATTAGTTAGCCAATTACCATAGCTAAATAGTGTCACACTAAACTGTATTGACTCTGTCAAGAGAAATTCTTGGTGAATGGTCTCAAGAACTCAATCCTTGGATTTATGAATTTCTATTCGCTGCTGGTAGTCAATGTGACAATGGTACACAACCTTCAGAAACCATGTACTGTTGATTTAAGAGTGTGTGATGGTTATGCTTGTTTGACAAGATGTGAGATGTTTTTGAATTAAACCTTGATGGGTTTAGAAATCTCCACTCTTTGTTTTGATCTCACCTTCTTCCTCAACCAACTCTTCGTACAAATGATTGACTTGAAGGAGGAGAGTTTTGAAAATTCTGAAAGGGTTTAACCAATACACCTTTGGTATTGGTGGATGGATTGTAGCCATTTTTAGTGTATCTGATGAATTAGAGCAAGAAAATTGTTGCATTTCAAGTAAAATTGGACCAATTTTCCCCCGAAAATCAGCAAAGATAATGAAAATTTTTATGTTGTCATCTATTTTGATGGTATTCTGATGCAATTCATAGCGAATATCCTGCCTGGAACCCCAAAATAGTAATATTACAATCATTTTCATCCATTTGGAGCCCAAATTTTAATTCTAGCATACACACAAAATTTACCAAATAGATAAATTTACAGTCTCTGAAATAATATTTGGTCTTGCATTAAAGAAGAAAGGGCTAAGAGTCACATGGCAAACAGAAAAGATTCTAAATGGTTTTAGCCTGAGTTTTTCAAAAAGTATATACTTTGCTACGTGAATCTTAGCCAGTTTTGATGTATTTGATGTTTTTGATTAAAAAAAATAGTGCAATTTTGGGGAAAATCGGACATATTCTCAACAAATTTTGTAGCAGTTCTCATTTTACTTTGTCAAAATCTTAATGAATTCATCATGAATCAATGATTTTTCCAATCAGAATTCAATTATATCATATTCAAAGTTAGAAAAATGATACTAGTTGTATTTCCTCAGCTAACCATAACAGATTTTAGCCCATTCACTTATCAGGGTGATGTAGCATTTAAAAATATGTGGTCAGGATATGGCCAAGAAATATTTAAGAGTTTATTCAGTTTTCTGTAAATTTAAAATAACATAAAATCAGTTCTAGTTATGCTAGGGACTTAATTATTTTTTGTTTTTTCAGAATTTAATGTAGATTCATTCTATAAACAAAATTTTAAGTAAGAGATAATATGATTTTTTGCCAATTTCCACCTCTGGGCCCACTGTGCAATGATGATTTGAAAATTTAACCTTATTTCAAAACAAATCACAACATGGGGTAAAGCAATTTAAGCGATCACCTTATTGATCAGCCATGGGTATTGAACATTTTGAACGACCGGGAGAGACAAGAAGACTACAATAGTTACATAAGCCCAAGACAATTTTCAATGCATGGATGGATGGTAAACTTATAAAGGTGAAAGATAGATTCTGGGGAAAAAAATTGTGTAGAATGACACAATGAATCAAATTTCCTAGTAGCAGCTGTAGCAATTGATTCAATATAATCAGTCTACTTCATGTCAGTGGAAAATGTTACTTTAAGCAGGTGCAATGACTCACTCTCCTAGAGGTTAGCAAAAATATTATCTAAGATGATTAAAAGAGAGCTATTTTATTTTGGTGGTGTTAAAATTAACAAGCCATTTCTTACCCCAGTTAAAAACGGATGGAAAGACATTTTTGAGATCAGCTGCCAATTTGACCTTATCAAACTTATCAGACTTACCATTAAGACAGGAGTTGTGTTATCAATATACTCATTGGGAAGGTTGTTGATGAAAATTAGAAACAAAGTAGGTCGAAGGATAAAAGCCCTGTGGGATGCTGACATTAATGTAAAAAGATCTAGAATAGTGACCATTCTAGATAAGTTTCATTTCACAATTTGATAAAAAAGATTGAATCAAATCAAAAATTTGTCCAGAAATATCATAACCCTTCAACTTTAAACCAGCATGCCACATCCTGTCAAGCACCTTAGATATCTAAAGCAACAGTCAACTTCACCATTCTGATCTAAAGCTTGATAGGCTCTTTCAGCAATAACCGTTAATACATCAGCAGAAGTGAAGTGAAAGCCATATTGTTTGACAGATTACCCTGAGAGGTGAGATTCTAAACCAATTTGTAGTTGATTAGAACCTCTCATGCTTAGCCAGAAAGAGGGAGAAGACTCTTTTTGCAAAAGAAAACCAAAATGAATCTAGGGAATGAGGTACTCAATATGATTTCTACTTGTGAGGAACAAAGAATGAACAAAATATTTCTGCTGTTTTCTTTGGTTTACCAGTACCAAAAATAATACCAGTATATTATTTTTGCCACTGATAAACAGAAACATAAGAATACACAAATAGAGAAACAGTAGTTAAATTTTCAAGAATAAAGTTTTCTTTTATTAAATACTAAATTCAGCATAACTTCAGAATTAAAAGTAAAGTGTCTTTTTCCTCTAATTTTGCATACATAACAATCTAATAAAATTATTCAGGTTAATTCATGGCACATTCAGTGTAATTTTATAACTTAATATTGTAACCTTGTGGTTGTAAAGATTGAAATAACTTTTCTCTCAACAAAACAAAAAATATTTATCAAGAATGAAAAATAAATGAGCAGGAGATAGTATCCATTGATTTTGTTGATTTTTTTTACTTCAGTAGCTTCAAATTTTGGCATGGTAGTTTTAATTTCTTCTCATAGGTCTGCTTTGCTTTTATATTGTTTGCCACCTTCATATAATTTCATCTTCAGAATTGCTCATAGATTTTTGATCAGATTCAGATCAGGACTTGGTGGTAGCCATTCAATTATCTTCTCTCCTGCAAATATTTTATGCTCAAAGAATTGACGGCTTAGAAGGAGCATTGTTGTGCATAAATGCACACTTCATTTTGAAACTGTGCGACTGGGACTTGTACCATGCAAAGAAAGTCTAGTTCATAAAACTGCAATTTATGGTTTAGTTCAACAGTTCAGCCCAATGGTTCAATGTTTTAACACAATTCCACCCTTCGTTGTTACCTTCTTTTAGCCACAGGCACATCTGAATTGGATAAAATTCATCCTTTAGCCCATCCATCAGATTCATCAAATGTCACTCGAGATTGATTTTTCATGTATTTCTTGGCCCAATTTTGATGCTTTAAAATTTTGACGTTTTTATTGCTTTAGGCAGTTGCCTAGGATTTTTTTTTTTACAGATCTTAATTCACAAAGTATTCTACACCTTTTGTCCTTGACTCGGTCAATTCCAGCCTTTTCAAAGATCTGAGCACTGGTCAAAAGTGGTTGTTTTGCTATAAGATGCTTTAGTTTACATTCATCTTGAGGAAGCAAGTTCTTAAAGCCTTTTTCTTTGCTTCAAGTTTTCCTTATATTTTCAACAGCCTTCTTTATTATTCAATGATCTCTGCAAAGCTCCTTTGATATATCCAATATGGACATTCCCTCACTCTATAACTTTGTCATTTTCTGTTTTTCAATAGTTCTTTGATCCTTCCCTTTACTCATGTTTCAACATATATTATGGACAAAAAGAAAAATAGTTTTTATTAGATTTCAGAGGTTTTAAGTTAATATTAGTTTAATTTGCATACTAGCTTCAGTCAGTCCATTTTTGTAAATTCCAAATATCTCAAAAAGTAACCATTAAAAATGGCAGAAAATTTAGTTAAATATTTTATTAAGGGTGGAAATGGACAAGTTTAAATTTGACAAATATTGCTTCAGACCTTTTTGAGTTATTGAGGTTTATTTGATTTGCATAATAACTTCAGACAGGCTGTATAAATAGGCATACAAATTACTTTATCATATTGTTAATCAGATATATTTTTAGAATAATGTTTCCATTTATTTTTTCCAAGGAATACTGCAGAGAATTCCAAAATGCTTGGCAATCTCAGCAACTTGATGCAATTATTTGTCCATCTATGGCATCAGCTTCTGCTGTCAAAGACCAGATGTTTTTCACAGGTAAAGTAAATTTATTTTAAAATGAGTAAATTATATGCTTATACAATCATAATACATGGATCCATCTAAAAAAAAAAATGAAGGAAAAAATCTATAAAATTCTGGAAATTTGTATTGATGCCTTGTTTTAATAAGTTTATAGAATTTTGTTTACATAGGAAAGTGTTGTTCAAACTACTTTTCAAAATCTGCCCAAACATGACTTTTTTTTTTTTTTTTGTGAATAACTTTTCAACACTCTCTTACATATTGCTGAAATTCTAGAATGGTAAATTTTTAATTTATGTAAATTGTTACAGAAAATACTGATGAGAATACAACTTACACTGAATGTTTGCATATATAATTTAAAATGTTTTTTTTCATAGTTTTAGATTATTTTTTTTATTCTTGTGGTAACAAGTCACTAACCTGGTCTTCTTGATTGAACATGTTTCAACCAATGTTCATAAATTGTCATGAATACATTTGTGATATATCTCCTGACACGCATATCACATTATAATTCTGCTTGTTTTTTAGCTAGCATCTACATTACACCCTGCCAACACCTTATAGATAATGGACTATTCTATTTTGATCACAAGGACAGACAGAAAAGACATTTCAGAGATGCTGTTTGGTTTCAGTGAGAAAAACGCTTGCATGTGTTTAATGTCTGCTTCAGCAAAATGGAAAAACTTAATACTAATTTTTATTTATAAGAACTATTTATTTCAATAATCTTTCATAATTTTCTTTACATCACAAAAGCTTACTACAAACAAAGAATAATGTCATAAAATCTCATGCACCATAATTTGTGACAAATTGTGTTAAGTGCACCTAAAAAAGATAATTGTCTCCAAGCCTCCTATGGAAAATTATTTATGTCTATGCTAGTAAATCATAAATCAGGTAAGCTCCATTAGTGCCTGAGACCAACATTTTTATTATTTTCTAAGTAAATTTTTAATTCTTTCAGTTTTCTTTATCAAGAGTTCTTTTTGTTATCTGGTAATTAAAATTCATTTTACTTTTATTCTGTCATTTTGTTTTTTTTTTTATTTGCAGCTTTTTGTTAGTAATTAAACTTGAAATGTCAATCTCATCACTTTAAACAGTTGGATTACAATATATTCTTCTTTAGGCCTTTAGGATAGAAAATATAGGAATTAAATTCATAATTCTACATTTGACAAGTGAAACCTAATGGCCATAGGTTTCATATTAAGACATTGTTTATCTTTGCTATTCCTTGTTAAATTTCTTTTTCTATTGCAGGTGTTCCATCTTATACATTATTTTATAACTTATTGGATTATCCTGCTGGAGTGCTTCCAGTTACAAAAGTCACCAAAGCTGACTCCAAAGAGCATGCAAACTACAAACCCAAACATTTGTTAGAGAAATTTATAAAAAATGTAAGTTCATATCAGTAACATTTTTTATTATTTATCAAATGTCATCATATACTGAAACTGTTTATTTTTATTATAAAGATTTTATCCAGCAGTTTTGTCTCTTGTAAAATGCTGGGTGAATTAAGTAACACTTATGATCTTAGATGAAAATAAATTTTTATTATAATTTTATAATAATTTTTGTTAACATATGAATAAGTAATAATATATCTTAACTTACCATTTTAAACAAAGTTCAGTTGAATTGCTTTTTCTCCAAATCAACAGCAGTTATTACTGACTGCTGGATGCTATGCTTACTGCCTGACATTAGTCTTTCCCCAAATTTACTCTATATTTCAAGTGTTATTTTATAGTGGAAAAAGATTATTGCAAATTGAAATTTGCATGCCAGGAGTACAAATGTGCAAAGAGAAATGTCTATTTACAAGTTTCAAGTGTCTATTACAATAGGTATAATTCACTTAGTCTCCCTAAAATGCTGTATGATACAATTTAAATAAATATGCTTAATATATTCTGGCGTGAATAATTTTTATGATATAAGTAATGTGTACTTTGCTTCTTGGGATTACACATCACTATTTTCCAGCAGTAATCTAAAAGTGGACGCTGAAAAGTTCTCAGCCCAACTCACTTACAAAATCAAAGAGAGAATACTAATTTTGAGAAGTGGTTCAAACCAAGAATTTTTCAGCATCTCCTCATAGTCTCAACATTGAATGGACAATTAGTAATGTTTGCCATTACATCCACTCTTAGAATCCTACTCACAATTAAATCTGAATGCATAACTATATTAGTTGTGTAAAACTTGCAGGCAGTAGATTCTGGACTAATTTGGTAAGAAAAACTAATTGATGATAAATTGTTTTTATGTCTCTGAATGACAGCAGCAGACAAACATCTTTGACATAACTCAACAATTTGCACTTCATAATTTGTTTTTATACACTAGAACTTGTTCCTTGCATAAAATTTCAGGTTTCTATAGTTTTTCGTTATGATTCCTAATGAGATCTCAGTAAGCCTCTGCATGTAATGATATTAGTATTATAATTTTAGCATTATAAAATGTTTAAAAAAAATCTTCATGATTACTAACTCTTTGATAATGTTTCTAAAAAACTGTTTCTTTTATTTTAGTTGATGAATGGTGCCACTGGCCTACCAATTGGGATCCAGTGTGTAGCTCCTCCATACAAGGAAGAACTGGTCTTGCGTCTCATGATAGAAATCGAAGAGGGACTTAAAAAAGAACATACAGATTAAAGAGCAGTAATTAATACTTAACAAAATCTAAACGGCTTTACCATTTTGTAAAATCTTAACAGGTTTTAAAATGCTTAACTTTTTAATGTTTGATTTCAATCACATTGCAAATATTCTATGCATCAAATTTAGTCCCATCAATCTGGATAAAATTGCATGTTTTTGAAATTCAAGTAGTGCTTAAAATTGATTCATAATTTTTCTGAATGATGAGTGTTGAAATCTAATATCTAATTTTTGATGGAATATGTCAACAATGTTGAACCATTCATTTTTCTTTTTAATTACCATCTTTCCTACTATATTACTTCTTTATTAATTTCAAAATCATTCTCAGTTAAATCTGGATGTGAAAATTGGTTAGACTGCATTTTACAGTTTTCATTGTAGAAATTTAATAAAATCCTTAATGTAGTGGAGGAAAGTGGCCTCCATGTAACATTTTATGCTGGCATGTGGTCATTGTGCAACTAAAGCATATATTTTTTTTTTTTTTTTTTAAATATCTGTTCACACGGAGCTCACAACATATACAAATTCTCCAAACAGGCCTGACTGATGTCTCAGGGAAATAAAACCAAGCAAGCTAATAATGTCATTAAGACACCAGGGATTACTGAGAGTGAAAGAGAATGAGAAAACTGACAAGTCTTTATTCTATTTTAATTGTCCTATAATTAGATTTTTATTCTTTTCACTAATAATACATTTTCATATTTTGATTAAATATCCTCCAAATATTTTCAAAATATATCTTTAAAAACACAATAAAGTATTAGTTAAACCTTTTGTTTTTTTTAAACCACTTAATCTGCAATGAAAATTATTGAACATTGTTTAGATTTTCTTTTAATGCTATAAAGTGATTTTTTTTTAATCTAATATTAAAATTCTTTCTTTTCATATCTTGGAGCTGATTGTTTTTATATTTCTCAAGAGACTTTATGCATCACTTTAGCCAATAGAAAATTGTATAAACTAACAAAAATTGAAATTATATTAGGAAAAAATTTCAACTTCTTACCTAGTAACGATGTTTAAGATTGAATAAAATGACATACTTGCTAACATTTATTTAAATATTTATTGCTGAAAGATTTTTTTCTTATTTACATACACCAGTAATTTCTGTAATTTTAAGAGGTTGCCATTATTCCAAGAGTTGTTTTAGTCAGTCTTTTGTTGTTACCAAATCTTCTGGTTATATTTAGATTAAAATAAAAGAACTGAAATCAGGTTTAACATTTATTTTCAGTGTTTTATAGTAAAACAAAAAATCTAATGGTGAGTGAAATATAAAGGAATTGATTTTAAGGAAAAAGAAATAAATTATGTAATATTAATGAAAATTCATTAAATTAATTATGCCACATATATGCAAAATAAATAATGTAACAAGGATTTTTAATTGCTGTTGCATGATGATTCTTTCTCTTCTAATGTCATTCTCAACTTTTTATGCATTTCGTTTTGCTTTTGTTCTTGAAATTTTTAACGAAAAACACTTTTTAACTCTCCGTGCATGATTGCAATTGCCATAGCTGAATGTTGGCTTTCTTTTCCATTAAAGTCCAGACAATCCTTTTCATGTTTCTTATTTCCTTGTTCAATTTCAGTTCAGAATAGTTTCTTTGGACAATTTTGCATCTTGTCACTATCTTGTTGCATATATTTCTCATTGTCATCCTTCTTCCTCTTATTCCATCATCATCTTTTTGCACCAATACAAACCATTAGGGTGAAATAAGCAATTATCCAAAATAAATTTCCTGAAAAACAGAAATTTCAAATGAGTTACATATCATCGAAATTGTTCAAATATACACATCAAAATCATGTCCGGATATGAGGGATTCCGGATATGAGGGCATTCGGATATCTGAGGAAAAGTTTTAGTTAAATTTCATTAGGAATATTTAATCTTTTCTAGAGTTACTTCTATTGATGAATTTATTCATTCATAAATTGCGCTGATTCTTTTCGTGAAAATGTTTTTTTCGTGTAATGTATAACTCTAATATGAATCTTACGGTGTATTTGTGCATTAGTAAACTTCCGTATAGATTTCATTGGTTTGTGGTTAAAATCTGATTATTTTTAGTAAAATTCTTAAGAGATCTTAAATATTTAAAATTTTCTTTTTAAACATTAACCATATGTACAACTAACCAAATATTTTAGTTTTAATTTGAAATATTATTACAAGATAAAAATTGTAATGTCTCTTTGTCCTGGGACGGGAAATTTGTCAAGATAAGACTGGAGGTTTTTTATCTGGCCAGTTTGAGGGTAATTAAGGTTGACAAGAAAGCAGATAAAGTCTGGGAAGACACCCACACACACACACACACACACACACAGTGTTTGTGGACAGGACACACACAAACACAATATATGTGTGAAATGTTATGTACTACAGAATGTTAGAAGGAAAGAAAAAATATATTTTGACAATATATTCAAGAGAGAGAGAGAGAGAGAGAGAGAGAGAGAGAGAGAGCTTCCTTCTTATTTGAAGACATGGAATCAGTCAGAAAATTTGGAATCCATGCTGACACAATTATTTTAGTGTCACCACGAAACTTTTGAAGCACTTGGGTCTGGGAATTGTCCCAGATGGGGAATTGGTAAAAAATAAATACTGGATTACACTGAATGTTTATCGGAAGGTTGAAGGATGCATCATGGAAGGATGGTCCGTTCAACAAAAAAATGAAGATGAAGATAATCATTCGAATCATTCATTGTGCCATGTATCTCAAATATATACTTGAATCATATTTATTTAGTTATCCATTTAATTCTGATAAAGATTAGCATTGTTTAACTAACTTAGTCGATATTCAGCGTCAAAAATTTGCAGCGTACAAAATCAAGAGAAATTACATAATACTAATTACCAATGGGATGGGCAGGGTACTTTAAATACGAAATTCAGTTTTTCTGTTTTTGAAACGACAATCGGATACATAGCTTTTCTTGTATGCTAATTTCAGGACAGACAAAATAATGAAAAAAATGATAATATAAATAGGTTAATGTAACTTACTTTAAGTTATCTAAAATTACACACACACACACACACACACACATTACACACAATATATATATATGCATGTTTCATTAAAACGACAGACAATGTACTACGGTTTTTTTTTATTGAATTTTTTTTGTGTTTGACTTTCTTTCTGGACAAAGGGGTTTTAAGAACTGTCCAAAATGTTTTATATTTCCGAGAAAACTTTCGGCTATACCTTTAGCCATTATCAAAGATGATTCGATTTTAGTTTAATTGAGTGTGTACGTTCTGTGTATGTATCATTGTGTGGTAGGGATGTTTTAATTTCCGAATACGGTTAGTACATTGTGGCTTTGTTCGTAGTTAATATTATTAAGAGTAGGCTTTTTTTTTTTATTATAAAGCTATATATATATATATATATATATATATATATATATATATATATATATATTTATTTAGGCAGCAATCCTTCGTTTATGCATGTTTCATTAAAACGACAGACAAGGTACTACAGTTAAGCTTTTTATTTTTTTTTTCTGTTCGAATTTTGTGTACGAACAAAAGCTTTCTTTTCTGGACAAAGAGTGTGTTTTAAAGAAATCAAAATTGTGTGTATTATTATGAATGTTTTCTTAAATGTCCAAGTAGGGATGTTTTTAATTTCCTGTTATCCTCTACCTGAACACTTTTGCTATATATGGGTAGGGGTTGCCTTTCACAGGACCTTTCAAGAACTAAGAGTCAAAAGGTAAATTTAGAATTGTTCTCCACTTTACAATCAGATAAAAATGTTGTAAGCCTCTTCAGACGGACTACGTTCTTGGTTTCACCAGTTCTAACCTTTCAATTGAATGTTACACACATAATAGTGAAATTTTCTAAATTTTCGTATTCCACTGGTGAGTTGTATGTTCACTCGAATAACATCTTCTCACGAAAATGTTACTTTTGGAAGCTATAGGATGTTTCATCCATCTCCAATCATAACTTAGGATTAAGCGTTAACATTATCCATGTAAATCTCATCTTTTATTCTGTAACCCTCTAGCTCAAGTGGCTCTTTCTTCTGTTGTACAGGTCAATAAATTATATATAATATATATTTATATATATATATATATATATTCACAAATTATAACATAAACATGTCCTGGCATTTTGTTCAATGATGGTTTTTTTTGCCAACGTTGAATTGCTTTTTTTTTTTTTTTTTTTTTTTAAATAGTGGTTTACAAAATCGGAATTTTATTCCATCTATACCAACCCTGTAAAGGATATATATATATATATATATATATATATATATATATATATATATATAATTATGTAATATGTCATTTTTTAGATATATAAATTCCTTTATTTTAATTGCCAAAAAAAACAAAAAAATAAAACAAAAACCAAAAAAAAACAAATGAAATACTTTTGATAACCAGATATTTTAAATTCAGCTGAATCTATGGGTTAAATATCAGTCCATACTGGGATTCTAATTGGATAGCAAACAATCTAAGACAAGGTTTTGTCTGAATTTAAAACTATGGAGAAATATATAAACCATACATATTTTTGCCCCAAAAGTCATGGCAATTCATAGAAAATAAAATAAAAAGGAATCTGTAAATACAATGGTCACCTATCCTAAGCCTTGAAGGGACATGGTATTTACCCAACTCCCCACCCAACCGCCAAAAAAACGACAACGAAAAAACATCTAACCCATCCACATTTAAAGCACGTGAAAATCAGTAGTCTATACGTTTCAGAGCAATGTCGGTAAGACCTGTATATAAATGTTGCTTTAAATACCGCATTTAGTTTTATGTTCACATTATTTTGCCTTTTGTGGGCGGTTATTTCTACATAAACATATCGTCCTGGTATGAATTTTATAAACTGCTTTATGAAGATATTTATTATACTTTCTTGTAGATTTGTATTTTGTTATATACTGTATATATTTCTTATATTCAGTTTT